CGATTCGAGCCCAGGTTTAGAGTTGTGGTCGAGTTAGAGTAGTTGGGGAGGTAGGGATTACCTTTGCGAGTGTTTGTGTATCGAGCTCAATGAGTCCGTATGGTTTATAGGTGCACATCAAGTCAGCCACGCACTTCATATGCCTGATATGCGATGGAGAAAGAGAGAGAGAGAGATATATGCGGGCAGGCTGATGAAGCGGTAGCGCAAGATGTGACCGTTTCACCGTGTATTCATTGAGGGACTCTATTGGAATTGTCATGCTCTAGCTGCCTTATCCTGCTGGGCAATGAGCTGGGATTTATCCAGGGATGCATTCGTGCAGCCCCAGTGTGGTTTGTAAGCAGTAGCTTAATAATATAATAATAATAATAATAATAATAGATTGGCCCTTACACATATGTTAGTGGTTGGCCGAGCTTCTTCTTCGATTTGTGCCGTGCGCCTTGATGTTCTCACACAAAGCGAAGGGACCTGCACTTTTACGCAGACTCCGAACGGCGATTGTATTTTTATGAGAAGCTGTTTTATCATGGCAGAAATACACTCGGAGGTTTGCCATTGTCTGCCGAGGGACGACCGCTGTTAAGAAAAAACCTTTTTTCTATATTTTTTGAGATGTTGCTTTGACCAGGGTTTGAACCCAGGCGTTGTGGAGAGAAGCGCGCACTGCTTACCACTACACCACTGCGGCGACAACAATAGTAAGATGTAACCAAAAAATGAATCGACTATATCATGTCTAAGTTATCTCAATCGATTTTCAGGTGTAGGAAAATTTAGAAACATGAAAATTTTAAAATGTGATATCTCAGCGAAAAAAATGATATTTAAGCAAACAAAACGCCATTTGAAAGAAGAAGACTTGTACTTAAAGATGCCAGCCTATTATTTTGGTGAAAGAAAACATCTGCAGGGCTACATAACCTCAAATATGGGCAAAAACGGTGTTTTTTGCACTTTTAGGTTAGGATATCTCGAAAACCAGAGCTGATAGAGCAATTCTGAGGCCAGATTTGGATCCAAAACATCATAAACCTTCGGAAATATATAGTCTGGTTTCTGGGTCTGAATGTTGGTTAAATTTTGTCGGCCTGTGTAATTTATCGTCCATATAACAGAAATATGCCACAGCAAAGCGTGGCAGGGTACAGCTAGTTTAAAAAATAATAATAAAAGTAATAATAATACGGTTGTTAATTATTTAACTACTTCCGGCGAGGAAACATCTACCCCTAGTGTTGCTAATTGTATGTTCTTTTCTATGATATCTACCGATATCTAGACTAGTTGTTATAGACAGCAATGCTGCGAGCTTGAAACCTAAAATTTCCACTCGACTAGTGTATTGAAATGGAAAAACTTGGCAGCACTGTATAGTTTTCGACGATTTTGGTCGTTTACTTATTTCAGTACGACAGTAGACAATGCTACTGTTGTCGAGTCGTACAATTTAGCCTAAGTTACGACTTACGAAATGAGGCTGAATAATAGATTGGCGCTTACACTTATGTTACTGATTGGCCGAGCTTCTCCTCCGATTTGTGGCGTGCGCCTTGATGTTTTCACACAAAGTGGAGGGACCTACAGTTTTACGCCGACTACGAACGGCGATTGTATTTTTATGAGAACCTGTTTTTCACGGCAGAAATACACTCGGAGGTTTGCCAATGCCTGCCGAGGGGCGACCGCAGTTAAGAAAAAACCTTTTTCAAAATTTGTTTGCGATGTTGCTTTGACCAGGGCTTGAACCCAGGGCGTTGCGGAGTGGAAGCACGCACTGCTTACCATTACACCACAGCAGCAGTGGTCGCCATACGCAACAAATTATTGTACATATAACTACGGTGACCATATTAAACATTGTAAAATAAAGGACATTTTTTTTTCAAAATGATTTGGGAATACGTACATACAACTTGTATGATAGAAGTACCTTAACCATATCGTAACTTAAATCAAATATTTGCCAGTTAATTATATTATTTAATTGCACAAGTTCTCTGTAGCGAAAAATTAAGCCAAATCCTTTTCAAGGACTTCGCCATCCTTTGCTTCCAAAATGCGTTTACCATAATTCAGTTTTGAACCACTGTGCAGCAGGGGGTTTATTGTTCTCTTTCAGTGGAACTGGAAACTCAGCGTGCAACACGATCCTGGGCACAACTTTCCATATGCTTTATAGATTGTACAAAGATTACGGATTAAATAGAAACCCTTAAGTGGGGTGCGAAAGAAACTGGCGAAGGTTTTAATTATATTTTATAAGGGACTTTTTTATTTTTCATATTCTGCGTTTAAAAATTTACCTCTGAAAAAATGCCGAGCCGATTTAAAGGACAGTTTAAGAAATAAAGGACAAAAGGCGTCCTTTATTTGGAAAAAAATTATATAGGACAGGGGGTTAAAATAAAGGACTGTCCTTTAAAATAAAGGACGGATGGTCACCGTAACAATAACACAAGCATGAGCAAAATATCAACACACCACATAAACGACCGAGGCAAGCCCGATATTGCGTAATGTTTTTGTGTGGTTTAGGGGCGGTGTGTGCAAAGAAATTCCTGGTTATATTTCCCTTATAAGAGTTACCAAATCAAACTTATAAATAAATATAAAAATAAATTAGTTGCCTTTGAACTAGGAATATTACACTGTGCGACACTAAAAAATACCTGCGAAGTTATGTATATTTTCTGGTAAAACAAGAATCGAAATACGAAATTTGCCAAAAATACCCAAAATCTTGATTTACCGATAAAAAGCGGTTTTTCGTACTTATGCGCACTTATAAGCCTGTAACTTAGTTCATTATGAACCGAGTTTCGGTTTATTGTCGGGTTTAAAAAGAAGACACTTGGGCCTTTCGAACGATATACATATATGTGAATAAAGAAACCTTAAGAGAACTGTGTGTATTTACCCAGCAAACACGTTTTTTTTTTTACTTTTTTCGCCTTTTTTCAATTGTGGTGGGGTTTTTGCGGACTATTTTATAACAAATCCATACTAGTCCTAAATTGAGGGTAAAACCAAATTTAATAACGAAAAAATTAGTGTTTATTTTCAAAAATCGGATGAAAGTTTGCTGAGTTATTAAACTTTTTATGAAAACAATTTTTTTTTTTCAAAAATATTTTTTTTGGTTATACAACTCAAAAATTTTTTCTTGACAGTTTTTTTTTTAATCTCACGTTTTCTGTGATCGCTAAGTATGGCCATACAGAGAGCCGCATTAAATAGGCCGGAAAACATTTTAAACTTCCCATTGGGTAAAGCTGAAAATATGTTCCTACTACCACTGCATTTCAAGCTAGGATATATGAAACTATAGGGGTATTCTCACAGTCTTGCAAAGCCGTTGCACGATGCACGGGTTTCACGGTTTGCAAAGCTATCATATAGGAAAACCGGTTTTTTTTCGTGTAATCCGTGTAATCCATGCACCGTGCAAGACTCCGAGAATACCCCTAATTTGTAAAAACAAATTAAGTGAAGCCAAAATAAAAGGAGGTATTAATTTTTTATTC